TTATAACTGAAAAATTTCCTCTCAGATTCTAAAATCATTTTCATGGAATCAGAAAAACTGAGAATCACCAACATGAACCCCTCCTGCCCTAAACTATATGGCCTGATAAAAATACACAAAGAGGATAACTCCATAATACCGGTAGTTTCGTATATAAATGTACGGTAAGAGAACTAGGAATATACGTCTTAACAAGTTGTTCAAAAATATTACCAATTTCGTCCCACCTCACAGCATTAAAAATTCACTGACTTCAGTAGAAAACATAAGGAACCATACCACTCCACATAATTCAATTTTAGTTTTATTCGATGTGAAGAGTATGTTCTCCAACATACCGTACAACGAATGTAAGCCCCTCATATTAGATAGATCAAGCCAAAGTAGATCATATCACTTCCTTTGAAATTTCGACAGCTTTCGATGTGTTCCTAAATCAGAGTTACCTACAGTTCAACAACAGATTTTATAAACAGGATTCAGGTTTACCAATGGGCTCACCCCTTAGTCCATAAGGAACCATACCACTTCACGTAACTCAATTTTAGTTTCATTCGATGTGAAGAGTATATTCTCCCACATATCATACAACGAATGTAATCCCCTCATTTTAGATATATTTAATTAGGATTCAGGTTTACCAATGGGCTCACCTCTTGTAGACAATATTCTCGCCTGTTTTAGAGGTACTACACGAAAGGTGAACTTATTTATGACATTCATGAATAATCTCAATAGCAACATTCAGTACACACTCGAAACAGAGATAAAGAAACCGATAAATTTCTTAGACCTGACCATTACACACAATGAGAATAAATTTGAGTTAAATGTTTTCAGAAAACCTAGCTATACACACATTACCATCCAAAGCGATTCTTTCCATCCAGACAGTCATAAATTAGCAGCCTACAATTCAATGTTGCACAGAGCATTCTCACTGCCTGTGTCTGCTATCAATCTAGCTAGGGAAATTGAAATAATTACACAGATAGGCCATAATAATGGTTTCAACGCAGATACAATCCAGAAGTTAGTCAGAAAACAAAGCCGTAAATTCACTTACAGATTAATATACCCCCAGGTCAAACAATCAGAAATCAAGAAATGGGTAACTCTAACGTATTTTGGTTAAAGAACAGAGATAATTGCGGGTTTCTTCAGAAAAAACAATGTGGAAGTGGCATTCCGACCACATGCCAGGTTATTTGATTTCCTTTTCAATGCCAAAGATAAAGTGAATAAGTTGGAGGAATCTGGAGTTCATAAGCTTAAGTGTCGTCCGGAGTGTAATAGTGTTTATGTGGGACAATGTGGTCGAAATTTCTCAAAATGGTGTGATGAACATAAAAGGTCCTTCAGATTGATAAAAATAATTCGACGTTTTCAAACGATTCCTTGGCATGCAACCACAAGTTGCCGAATCTAAACGATACGGAAATTTTGCACTATGCAAAAAAGGGTTGCAAACTCAATTATTTGGAATCCTTGGAAATACATGAGCTTAAACATTGCGAGTACAATCTGTTAAATGATCAAATCGGCCTAGTTTACTCACCGGTTTTCAATTAGCATGTCCACATTGTCACAAGTAAACAAAATTCAGGTACTCAATTAATCTAAGTACCTTTATTTTTACCTACAGTGGTGTTATATAAGGGATAATGTAATCAATCATTTTTAGTTTAATGTACTAGTTTGAAAATGTCCTTACAGGACGAAACTGCAGTAACGTTAGTTACAAATGAAAGTGGTAAAAACATAGAAAGCTTCAATTCTCATTTCTTCATTATATTATTCTGTTTCTTTCTCAATTTCAAGTTATTATTCTTACATGTAGGTTTTTGGATGTTTTCTTTATTGTCCTGAGAATATTTCGTTTCAACTTTTTCAGTAAGATTACAATTTTTGTTTTGTAAATCATTAAAAGAATTTGAAATTTCTTCAGCTGGTTCATTTTCTGTCTCGAAAAATAATGTTTGTCAATATGGGTTAACCCATAATTATTTTTATCTTCATTTTCACCAAGTAATCATCTTCAAGAAGAAGATTAAAGTTTAGTTCAATCTTCCTCTTGAAGATTGAAATTGACATTGATTGAAACACGTGTCGAGGTGTTAAAAATAACGGAATAACGGTTTGGTGTTGGGTAATTATGTATTTTGGTGTCATGTGATCCGGGAAAATGTTTGATTTTTGTTTTTCCACATATTCCGATATTGTCTGTTTTGCATGATTCCATGTAACTTGGTGAATTTTCCACTCCAAATTGACCCATTCTTGCCTCCTAGAGTTGCAACAAGTGGACTGGGATGAAAATGCACAAACTCTACGTGGAAAGCCAAAGAATGATGTATATCCAAAGGAGTGTGCATTTTAAATATCATCTTTCATGGTTTTCCTTTCCCCGATAACAGGGAAGCCAGTCTTTTTGAGTTTGGAGTGTCTACAAACAGGATGGTTCAAGCTGAAGTCTATAAAGCCTCCAGATCCATGTCCACGACCGTGATAGAGTATGAATTGGATCATTTCTTTTCAAGGTGGATGTCTGAGCGACCGATAAACTAAACTTGTACGAAGTTCATAGAACTGTGCTTCATTATTTACCTGATTGCTCCACGTTGTTGACAGGTGGGATGTCAATCGGTGTTGTTTTCTAGTACATTTCTGGCCTTCTTGAGTACTAGATGTCACATTCTATTTATCTATATACCTAATTCTTTTGAAATTGTTGGTATGCTTAAATATATCAATGGTATCTTTATGAACTCGTACGTGGTAATGCGTTCAATTAGACAGGACAGCAGTTTCTTCGTCTTTTATTACGTGGTCTGTCCCTACTAGGATGTGTTCTGTAATTGTGGATTTCTCTGGTTGCATGAGGTTTCAACTACTCTTATGCTCTTGTATACTGGTGTTAATACAGCGTTTGGTAGTTCCGATGTAAACTGAGCCATAGTAATAGGGAATCCTGTGAACACCGGGGAACATCAGCGCCAAAAAAACGTGCACCTGTCAAACAGTTGAATGCTGACGAGAAGATTATTATACTCTCTGCGGATAAAGGCAACGCCGCTGCAGTTCTAAACATGGAGGACTACCAACAAACAGTTATCCAGTGCAGTCCTTATTTTTGTTTATGTAAGGCAAATAGACCATTGGTGGCTGTATCGTGCTCGAAGTTCGAGTATTTATTTTTCTATGTTAATGATCTTCCTCAACATATAAAAGGAGGCTACGTCACAATGTTTGCTGATGATACCACGATAACTATGGCGATAACTATGGCAGATTTGCTAAGCAACTCATCAGCAAATCTGAACACATTATTCATCAGTTCAATACCTGGTTCTAAAGAAATAAGCTTATCCTAAATACTTCAAAATCGATCAGTGTTATCTTCCACTTCAGAATAAATATTCCAAATGGTCGATGCTCTTACTATATATATTATTCTAACTTCTGAAGAAATAAAATTATTAAGAACCCTCCTAGACGCCAATCTAAATTTGACTCACCTTAAGAACCCAAGTATAAATAAACATTTTTTTCAACCGTAGTTTGCGATGGTCAGGCCCTATCCCCAGAAGTCCCGATACATTCGGGAGGGCGCGCCAGCATTATCAATCAATAAACACCCCCCGCACCGTGGGGTAAGTGATCATTGGGTTCGAGAATCATGTGCCCTGAGTAAGCGCAGTGAGCCAAGAATGACAAGCCTTATGCATCTGTCCGACTAAGATTTCTGCCTTAGTGCGGCAAGCCGGTATGATTTCAAGATTCGAGGGTGGAGAGGGCATCATTCCACCGAGGACTCCAATAATCAGAACAATCATCTTGACAGAGTGGTCTGAATAGAGATAAACATTATCATTATCATTATTATTATAGGATATATAGCACGTTTGATTTTTTGCACTGTGATACCTACTGGTATGCGAAGCTTGGTCTAGATGACGAAGATATCCTTCAAGAACGTTTGGTTCACGGATCCCGGTGGCACGAAGTGTTTTCTTCATACCACGCCACATCAACTCCCTTCATCCTCGCATCCAGTTTACTGTTGAAAAAAAAAACCAAGGAAATATACCTAGTTAACAGAAAAACTGACTAAAAAGTAGATAACATAGTTTATCGCGAACTTACTCATACTGATCAGTATCTCAACAAGAACTCAAAACCACCACCAAGAGCAAAAACAAAAACGTGCTATGATGAAAACACTTGTTGATTGTGCTTTTCATCTAGACCCAGGACTGCAGGCTAATGGTTTCACAGCGCAAGAAATCAAATGTGCTGAATATCATAGAAAGAGAAATACTATGCCACGATATAAACGCCAATGGCAAGCACAGTCTATTTGCTTTAAATAAACAAAGTCACGGACCGCATCGGAAAACTGTTTGAACGTCACAATATTGAGATCATTTACAAGCCAACTAATCAACTATGCAACACTCATCAGATCAGCCAAGAACAAGAGAGAGCCTCTCACATCCGCCGGTGTTTACAGGATTTCCTGTTCCTGTGGCTCAGTTTACATTGGAACTACCAAATACAGAATTTACACCAGGATACAAGAACACAAGCATTGTTGCCGCGTCATGCAACCGAGAAATGAATCAATTGGTTTGAAATCAATATATGCCTATTCTAAGGAGAATGTTAAAAAATGAATCTTTGCTTGCTTTATGTGCTGGACTGACATCAAAGTTTCTCAGGAATTTTCTAGGATTAGTTCTTAGGAAATACTAAAATCAGCAAATATGTTGTATTTAGGGAGCAGGCAGGAATATAGGTAACAAAAATATCAAGTTGATTTATTTTGTGCAAGATTTTGGTACATAAGTTGAGCGGAATTTGTTATATAAGCGTAATTAGGTACTTGTAGGAGTACTATAATATAAGGAAATAATGTATTGGCCTGCCTATAGGTTAACTCAAATTTTATGAAATATACCTACGTTTATAATTAGTAACATTTTTGTTTTTGCAGCTGTACAACATGAAAGAAAACCTATCACTGACAAAAAAGAGTTTCCCAGCAGTCCTGAAATTAAATTTAATCAAAATGCTCTCAATGCAGTCAACAAAATTTTCATTAGAAAAGATTTAAACACTGAATTTGGAATCCTCTCAAACCCATTTTGTTGTGATAATATGGGACTACACTACATCAATAAAAGGATTGGTAAGTTCATACTCGTATTTATATAAAAATTAGCTTGTTTCTGAATTGTCAAATTTATTTTGAATATCCATCACCAAACGGGTAGTTAATATCAGTTAATATCATTTCCACTGAAGAAAATCGGTATGCTAAAACTGGATGGACAAAGAGGCTTCTTGGTCAAAATACCATGTATTTTCTTATGATGCTAAATTTATTGCAATTTTCATGACATCCGATAAGAAAACACTTCAATGTCACGCGTCGTTGGTAAGTGTTTTAAAGAGAGACATGACGTGTGTGGGAAAAATACATCATTTAAGAAAACAACATGACAGTTTAACGTTTCAACAAGCGATCTCTCAATGTGTACAGGGTGTCTCAAAATACATCATTTCATTTAAAACATGGTAGCAATGTGTGTACAGGGCGTGTTAAAATACATCATTTAAGAAAAAAACATGTTTTAACGGAATTCTAGTGTTTCAACGTGCAATCCCAATGAGAAGCGTAAAACATGGCAGTTTAACAGTACTCTAACGTTTCAACGTGCGATCCTTCAATGTGTACAGGGTTTTTCAAAATTCATCAAGGAAGAAACATGGCGGCAATGTAACGGACATTGAGTGGAGTATGCAGGGTGCGACAAAATACATCAGCTGAGAAAAAAATCATGATTACTATTAATGTAAGTTACAAAAATGATTTGAAGCTCTATAACTTCTGTTTAATTATCTGCGAGCGCTTTCGACAGCTGGTCGTGCTGTCATCCTCTAGGCCTTACTCTATCTGAACGTGTCATCCTGTTGTGTGTCCTTTTATACGGTCCGAACGCCTCAATACAGGTACTTCAGGTAAACTTGCATGTATTTGGATTACATCAGGTACTATTCTTTTCTATTCTTTTTCTATTTCTTTTCCCTTAAACATCCATAAATTTAACAGTCATAAATCACTTATCGAGGAACAAGTACAAATCAAAACACAACAAGACCTAACATTCAATATATTAAACAAATCAAGACACACTCCTAGAAACAAAACCTAGAGAAGATCCAACATAAAGAATAGTACCTGATGTAATCCAAATACAGGCAAGTACCTGAAGTACCTGTATTGAGGCGTTCGGACCGTATAAAAAGGACACACAACAGGATGACACGTTCAGATAGAGTAGGGCCTAGAGGATGACAGCACGACCAGCTGTCGAAAGCGCTCGCAGATAATTAAACAGAAGTTATAGAGTTTCAAATCCTTTTTGTAACTTACATTAATAGTAAAATACTGAAAATCAAGGAAAATTAGTTGCATCATCTGAGGGTTGTCGTTCGTAGAGGTGCGATAGCTGGTTAACGGAAACATAACACATTTCAAAATACGTTGTTGTGCGTGCGTTTTTACCGTTTTGCTTGCGTGTATTCGGTATAGAAGCTATACAGACTCACACTCAAAATCCCATGCTTTCTCTTATGACGCATCATTCTGGTCATTTTCAGACCTCCGATCGGAACCTTGTGGAACACCCAACTCGAGGAAAGTATGATATGTGCGAGATTGAGACGATGCAATATGTATGTGTGCATGAGAGAGAGATGGTGATGACGTCACTGCGGAGTAGAGAAGAATCAAAGTTGGCGACATACCAAAAGGGCACTACCGTATCTCCGTTAATAATAGTTGGGTCTCAACGTACAGAATAGGGCATCACCTATTTTTCTATCCGCACCCAAGGTGACATGGATCAGTGTCAATGCTGATTTGCTGAATCGACATCTAGAGATAAGCAGTACTCAAAAGGATGAAACAAAGATTTTCATTTTCCTTGTGTGACTTATTTTACTATAAATACGTCCATCGTGGTGAAATGAGTTAGTTGTATCAGTTGAAAGTGATACCAGTGACAAGTGTACCAATTCTCTTTGAAAGTAAGTGTTTTTAAGTTCGACTTTTTTCTCAGATGAATTTATTCAAATGCAATTCAATTCAAAATTGGTGAGAGTTGTTGAATTATCATTTAATTTCCAAAATTTTTCTCAAAATAATTATCAAAGTAGCTGATTTACCTGTTGAGAGGCCGCAGAGAATATTGGCAGCCAAAATCGTGAAATGTAAATTTGGTGAGGCGGTCTTGTTGGATTTGGGTGAGAAAGTGTCATTTTTGCCGCATCGAGTGACGGAGGAGTATCGCCCCATTTGGGAGAATTTTCATCAGGAAAATACGCGGTTGTGTTCGCGGTTGATAGACATTGGGAAACTGAATCGTGTGGTTTCATTTGAAATTGTACGAAATTAAGGTTAGTATCGTTTCCTATTTTTCTCCGTTTGATATGCAAAGAGTTTGCGGTTGTATACAATATTTTTTGTTCGGCTCAAAAGTTGTCATTCATAGATATGATCCGCATAAAGTGATGTTTTCATACAATATAAGTCCTTTGTTTGGTACGTGAAGAACGTGTTTTAAATTCCTTGTTTTGACTGAAAGTTATTTTAATTAAAAGTATAGCTCGTTAATTTTTTTACCATCACTTCATGACACATTACCCTCACTGTTGAAAAAAATATTTTTTGGTGTATGTTTGTATTGAAAATCTAATTTATTTCAGATCAACACATCAACGTGTGCGGTGCCAGGTCAGAGTCTTCTCAACAACAGCATCCAAAACCGTATTAGCAGCTTTTCCAGAACGAGTTTCAAATCTCAGCATCTTCGACAATACATTAACGTGTGCAGTATCAGTTCAGAGTCATCTCTAGAATAACATCCAAAACCATCTAAGCAACCTTTCTAGAAAGAGTTTTAAATCTTCAACACTTTCCATTTTGTTAGTCTATAGTTGCACATTATGAGACTAGCAGTCGTCGATATTCGGGGATTTGTTGTTGACCAACAATTCCACCACAAGGAAATTGCCATTATGATCGGTAATCAATGTAACAATTTTCTGCTTCTATTGCCGAAACCATTCTCCTCCTTGAGCAAAAACGATAGAAAAGACGTTGTGTACGTGAAAAGAAACATTCATGGTCTGAAGTATTCTCAGGCTTCATGGAATATTATCTACTGGAGAGCATCCTCAAGGAATTTCTACATGATATCATTTATGTGCGTGGTCATCAGAAAAAACCTTTCGGGATGACAAACCTTAAGGCGCTCTCAGAGCGGTGCCTGTGCGAAAGTAGCGATTCACATTGGATTTGAATCGTTGGAGAGTAAATCCATTTGACCAAAACATTCTCAGGAAGTTTATTCCACATAAACGCAGTACTCCAGATGAAAGAGTTCTTAAACAGTGAGTTCGTTCACTCTCATGGAACTTAATATATCTCTTCGTCAACATAATACGGCCCCAGAAAAGTATAACATACATTACTTCATGATTGCGGAACTGCCAATAAAAACAAAACAGAAACTACTATCTATTTTTATTAGAATATGGAGTGGACAAATAGAAATCCCTTATGGATGTTACAAGTATATAGTGGTTTTTAAGGACAAAACAAGCACTACAAGAAAATCCCTAAATCCATTAGATTCAAATCGCTGGGAATTGAATTTATTTGGAAAAACGTTCTTATAAAGTTCATTTCACATAAACGCAGTTCTCCAATTGAAAGAGTTCTTAAACAGGTGTAATGAGTTGAACCTCAAAACGATGAGCAGCAACAGTCCATCGCGTATTTCTGATATGTACCGCTCTTGGTGGAATCAAATGTAAAGAAGAAATATACATCTACAATCCTTCTTCGATGTTCCAGGCTATCAAGGTTGTACGTGATGTTTGCGTCTCTAATCAGGCGGATGGCTCTTTTCTAGATGGAATCCAGCAACTTCAGGGTATGTTTGGGGACAGAGGTTTATACATGAGAAGAATACTCCAAAGAAGGTCTGATCTGAGCTTCATAAAGCATCAAAAGTTGCTGAGGTGTGTACAGTTTTCTGGTTCGGAACAGATCCTCATTAAGATATGCCACATCCTGCTGCAGTTGAAAATGTGCCTCCGTAGTCGATGTCCTGGAATCTAAATGGAATGACGAGACAAGTATGCTGTCGTCAGCAAAGCAATATATGGGATTCTTGTTTTTTTTTTCAATAAGTCGTTGATATATAATAAATAGAGGGTTGGAGACAGCCACTTGCAGGGAACGTTCTTTCAGGCAGCTGAAGAGCCATATACAAAAATGATCCAACAAGCCATAGTATCAAAGTTTGNTAATACTGTCAGAAATAGTAGTTTTTAAATAACTTCTGCAGGATGATGCCCTTGACTCAATCCCCAACCAGAGATCCGATTAGGGAGCTATTTTACCTCCGGAGTATTCTGAGTCTAGGAGCGCCATCATGCATTTTTCCTTATATTCCCATCCTTGAAACCGGAAACAGCGGCACAGCAACGATATTTTATATAAATGGCTTTATAATATAGTACCAAAATAAATAAAATGCATGGCACACACATCTTTGAAAATGAAAACCTATCTTATACAGGGAAAGTTGTCGAAAATATGCAATAACGAAAAATTATATACGAGGGTTTATAGTAATGAATAAACATCATGTTGTAAGATACAACTTGGGTAAAAAACAACTCTCATACATAGGAAATTTTAGAAATAAAGAAAATGTGTTTGTCAAATTAAATTGTTACCACATTTTATCTCGAAACTCTAACCCAAATGTCAACAAAATGAGTTAAAAAAAATGCAAAATTGAAAAAGGTTGACTGGTGATTCGTTGGGTCATTTTGAGATAAGGTGTATTTTATATCTTGAATTCACTCAATAAATTATAGATGATTGATATTAGACATTTAATTTCAATTACGATATTTGGAAATTCATTTCGTGTAGTAGTTTTTTCGAAATTCTCATTTAAAATAGCATCCTTTGATATATACCGGACGAGTTCTTATGTGTAACTAGCCTGACTTTAATTTGTCGTTAGGTGTGGCGACGAGTTCATTATGAAAGAGGGGGATAAGGTGGATTCTCAGACAAGTTCAGGTAATTTTGTGTCCATATCCATAGCAGTTAAGAGGAAATACCAATACATTAACTCAGACATTCATTTTGTGTTGTATTTTTTTAAAAATTACTATTTGAAATAGCATTATTTTTATAGATATCGGACGAGTCCATTATTTGTAAATAATCTGAGTTTTGTTTGCAGGTGGTTGACAATGTTACGTGGTGTATTTCATCAGTTCGGACTTCCATTGTCTGATATAATATAAATTGATTTGAAATCCTTGAAAAAAAAATTAAGAAGATTAACCGAAAATAACAATTTCATTAAAACAAAAGACTGACATTATAAAGAAATAACATACAAAAAAATGAAAAATAAAAATTAAAAGATTCCAAACCAAGTTACGTCACGAAGTTTCGATTGTTAGTATCCACAATCGTCGTCTGGACTTATCCCTCCGAGATCTGACTATTTATAGGTCATTCGAGTGCTTTCACCTATCCCCTCTCTCCGCTTCATTGGTTTTAGCGGAAAATGACCGTTTGGCGGGAGTTAGTCGTTTTTCGCTTGATAAGAGGTTTCCATATGCTACGTATCTCTACGCTAGCTTGACTAAATGCGTTTTTGGACAACATATACGCGGCTTTCTTGAATTTTCTCCTAAACCAGTGTTCCTCTTTGTGGATGATTTCAGCTTGAGTCCACTTGATGTTATGTTGGTGAGTCCATACATGCTCTGCTTTTCCGGATTTGCTGGTTTCTCCTCGCTGTGTGTGTTTTTGGTGCGTAGCAATGCGAACTTTCAATGGCCTCTTAGTTTCACCGATGTATGATTCTCCGCACTCGCAGGGTATCCGGTAAATGCAATTCTTGGAATCGTAGTCCGCGTTTGGTGGCCTGGTTTTTTTTCTTGCCCTTTTTAGGAATAGGCTGAACGCGAGCAATGTTCCAACAAGAAGGAAAAACCCCTTTCTTATAAGACAGGTTAAAAAGACTACAAAATACTGGTGCGATGACGGGCACTTCATCAGGCCCTGACGCCTTGTTGATATTGAGCTGTTTCAAAATTCGCCTGACTAAACGCTGTCGAAAAATAATTTCCCGCATTGTGGATTCTAGTGTGGGAATAGTGGGTGGTGCCTTTCGCAGAAAATCGACTGTGGAGCGGGACGCAAATTGTTCAGCTAGTAGATTTTCTCTTTCTATGGCTGTTTTTGCAATTGAGCCATTTTAAAGTTCTGATCAACAGCTTTATCTACCGACCAAAAGATCTAGACCCGTTGGGATTGGCAAGCAGTTTATCCCTTATTCTCTTGTGAAGTTCTCTGTTTTCATTTATCCTAAGTTTGCAGCTGTTGCGAGCATTAACAACTCTAGTTCGGTTTTTGGCACTGGGATTCTTGCGCCACTGCCGGTAGGCAAGATTTTTGGAGGCGACAGCTTGCTCGCAATTTTTGTTGAGCCAAGGTTTGCCATTAGAAGGTATTTTCATTGAAAAAGGAATATATGCATCCATGGATGATGGAATAACTTCCGTGACTTCAGAAGCACAATTTGATGGATCTTTAGAACTGAAACAAACATCTAGCTGGGGGAAATTTCGGATATGGCCTTGAAGGTTATCCCATTCAGCTGATCGGTAATGGCAAATTTTGCGCGGCTCAGATTGTTCCTCAACATGTATCAGTAATTCACTCATAACTGAAATGAGTTTGTGGTCAGAAGATCCCAATGGAGACCTTACGATGACTGTGTAACTTTCTGGATTGGTTGTTAGGTATAGATCCAGAAGACTAGCATATTCTCCATTACACCCAGGAATCCTGGTTGGCTCATTTATAATCTGAGTAAG